CAGACAGTCTGGGAGGGGGAACACTATGAGTGGTTTAGATGTAGAGCTGGGCAAGGACATGGCAATATCTCTTAGGATACTGGGAAGAAACACAGCTCCAAGGTAAGACTGAGCCCTCTGTCTCACACAGCTCACTGAGCAGAGCCCAGCAGGCCCAGGCTGGGCTCAACAGAGGCTGGGAGAGCACTGGAGGAGCATGGAAGGGAAAGGAACCTCACTGAAGGAGCATGGAAGGGAAAGGAACCTCACTGAAGGAGCATGGAAGGGAAAGGAACCTCACTGGAGGAGCATGGAAGGGAAAGGAACCTCACTGGAGGAGCATGGAAGGGAAAGGAACCTCACTGGAGGAGCATGGAAGGGAAAGGAACCTCACTGGAAGAGCATGGAAGGGAAAGGAACCTCACTGGAGGAGCATGGAAGGGAAAGGAACCTCACTGGAGGAGCATGGAAGGGAAAGGAACCTCACTGGAGGAGCATGGAAGGGGAAGGAGCCTCACTGGAGGAGCATGGAAGGGGAAGGAGCCTCACTGAAGTTCATTGCTTGAGGGAGAATCACTGAAGGAGAGAGACACTGAAATGGAAGATACATTCAGCACTGTCCTGGCTATTTGCATGATTTAGAAGTATCACAAAGTAAATATTTACAGACAGCAGTCCTGCATAGGTCAGAATTTTTACCTGGAGCAGTTGCAGTAGGAGGGAAGGTACCATGTTCAGTTTATAGCCCAACATTGAAACACAGATTCAGATTTGACTAAAGAACATAAATGACTTGAAGAGCTCAAGCCTGGCATCCAGGAAATGTTTGCTTGCATTATGAAACCACTGTCTGGTTACAGGTCTGTTCTTGAGATTGTTCTGTGCTGCACTGCACCTGCATGGGGAATAGGCCCCTTCCAGCTCCACAATTGTTAAAATCTTTAATATAAGTCACTACACACATCAGAACCCTAAATAATATTTTGAATCAGCCAAGAAAGCCTTCATTTAAATCATTTTGTAGGCAAAAGGCCATATAGAGGAATAAAACATTTCACCAGAACTTTTGCAGAGAGCTTTGAAAGAGTATAAATTTCTTATTTATAAGAAATATTGTTCTCTACTACAGAAGGTTTTTTTCAGTTGCTTTCATGCATTTAACAGCAGCTGAAGCAGAGGCAGCTTCCCTTCCCTGCGAGCATCTCTCATTCATGCTACAACTGAGAAATGAAATAACTCAGAAGATGCAGTCAGAGGAGCACAAGGGCTGTGGAAAGGGACTTGAGGGAGGAATTGGAAAGGAGCTTTAGGGTCTGTCCCCACTTCTACCACAGTTCTTGAGGGAGTTTTGTAGATCCTTTTAGATCACAATGGAAAACATGTCTATCCTGAAAGAGCAACTAAAATGAGTGGTTGTAGGAGACAAAGTGTATTCAAAACAAAACAGCAGTAGCACAATGTAGCAAAATGAATATATTCTGATTCTGTGCATGTCATTGCAGTCTGGAGAGTTACTTTTAATTGATGGCTGCAATGATTAAGAAGCTAGAGAGAAGCAACACATGTGGAAGCAAACACTTGTAACATCCTCTCCACATACTAAAAAGCACACATTATAACTCCCAGAAAGAAGATTCCAAAACGTTGCTCTTCCCCACATTGCAGCAACAAGTTTAGATATTTTAGTGACCAATATCAAACAGTGTTATTTCAAACAAATTACCCTGCACATAAATCACAAAAGAGCTCTCTTTCTTCAGCAGCCCATACCATATCACAAAGAAAAGCGACGTAAAGAAAAAATTAACCACGCTTTCACAAAAAAGGGTCACTGCAGTTGGCTCCTTTCCCCTGAACTTTTGAATCTCTGAGCTAAGCACGAAGCTCTTTCATCCCACAACACAAGACACCACATTTCAGCTAACTAGAAATCCACTTCAAATATTCCAGACTTCCTTTCCAAATGTCAAGGTTGTTTAGTTAATCAGGAATAACAACATTCTGCGGAATAAAATTCCAGTGCAAAACTGCAACCGAGCTGCACAGTCCTTGTGTGCAGTGACATAATTGTGTCCACTTCTTCAGGCACTTACACTGTGCACTTACCAACACCAGCTTTTGTTATAATTGCTCTGGATTTTACCTCTCAAATCATCCTGCCTAGGATAAAAATCCCTATCTGAGCTCAAACAGTTAATAACTATAGAAAATTAATAAAAGAATACTGCCACAAAAATCAAGCATTCAAGACTAGACATCTCCACTGCAATAAGTTGTCCCAGGTTACACCAACATTTCGAGTCATGAAAAGGTAACAGACCATGTCTGTGAAACACGAAGAAGCAGATTTTGGACAACAGATTGTTCACAATATCGACTTGCTTACTTGAGCCTGTCTGACACTGACAGTTCATACATCCACCTCGACTCCTGCCTAACTGCAACCAACTTGATACACACAGCTTTTCTACGTACAGAAAAATCAGCAAGCACGAAGTTCTTTACCATCAAGTCAGAATAATTCTAGCAAAAGCCACTTCCATTGTGCCCTGCAGCAGCCCGGAGATGACAGAAGCCGGGGATGTTTACAGGTCCCATATGAATAATTCAGCGTCAGCATCAGCAACAACTCCCCGGCACTGACAGCGATGCTCGCCCGACACGGAGCTGTGGCCGCAGCACATCCTCAGCAACTACCGCGCTCCTGGCCGAGCCTCCGAGGGGGACGGTTTTGAAGAACGGACCCTTCTTTTAATTTTTTTTTCTTTTTTAACTTGCACTCCTCCTGCCCACAGCGCAAGGATGAACACCCAGCACGGAGATGCTCTGGGATTTCTGCACAAACTTCCCAGCGAGGGCCAGCGCTCCGTGCCCCGCCATCCCCGCGCACCCTCAGCGTCAATGGGGGAGAGCCCCGCGGGCACCGGGCACCCCCCGCCCCTGATCCGCCAAACCCCCGCAGCCCCGGCGGCTGCCCCACGGGCACCCCCGGCTCCAGCGCCCTCCCCCCGGAGACCACAGGGCTCCGTCCCCGTGAGGAGGGAGGAGGACGGGATGGCCGGGCCCCCGCCTCTTCCCCCTCCTCCCCCTCCTCCTTCTCCTCCTCCTCCTCACAGCGGAGGCGCTCAGCCCACTGCCCCCGCGCCGCCCCGCCGGGCTCCCCGCGCTTACCGAGGCGCGGCGCGGGGGCGGCCCGGGCGGCGGGTGCCGGCGGGTCCCGGCGGGGCTGGGCGGGCGCGGCGTCTCACCTCACCCTCAGCGCCGCCGCCGCCGCCATCTTGCCTCCCCTCCCCCGGTCCCGCGCGCTCCGCCCCCTCCCGCCAGGTCCTGCCAGATACCGAATAAGCCGCGGCACCGAGGCTCGGTACCTTTCACCGGCCACGGTGGCTCTCCCCTTCTTCAGGCTGTGCCGCTGTGTGGTGAGGCACAGGCTGCAACAGGTCGAGAAGAGCCACCGGAGAGCGCGGCGGTGGGAGGGCAGGGTGCTATGCCCCTTCCAGGACCGCTGGCCGGTGCGGCGGGGAGGGGCTCCTTCCCCCTCCCGCTGAGGGCCGGGGGGGGCGCGGCCGCCATGAGGCGAACGGGGCCGGGCCCGTGAGGGGCTCCCGGGGCTCGGACCGCCAGGGAGCCGCAGCGCCCCGCTGGCCCCCGCCGGACCGATGTAAATTGATAATAACCCATAAGGGGCCCGGGCCGCGGCCGTGCCGATGAACGCGGCCTCAGGAGCCCCTCACGGGAGCATCGCTCGGAGCCCGTCCGGTCCCGCAGGGCTCTTCCCGCCCCGTCCGCGGTGCTTCCCGCGCTGTCCCTGAGCTCGGGCCCGAGCCCCGGCGACGAATGACTTCCGAAAATGTGAGAGAGGTTTAAATCTCGTTAAATGTCTGTTCATTCCTCCCCCGGAATGAGGAGTGTGTAACTCGCTCCCTGCGTTCTCAGGAGTTTCAAACCTGCACGGCGTCGTACGTGCAAATGTGAGACTCTGGATGCGCTAAAATCACAATTTAGTCTCTAATCAGGTTTCCTATGGGAAAGACATAGCATTAGGCAAGGTTAGATTACTTCATGGTCACAATTTCCATTAAATGGAGAAGTCGTGCCCACATCTGCAGGATGGGTGCCCACACAATTACTGGTTCAGACGAAAAAAGCCGGGGCTCACCCTGTGGCAAGCAGGATCGCTCAGCAAACACGTGTTGTACCAAGGGTTGGGTTATTACAGTGGTTAAAAGTGCCACGCTATGGTGACACGGCACATCTCCAGGCTGATGTTCACAGTCTCTAATCCCAACACAAGCCAATGACTCTGGCTTGGAATCACTTGGAGGTTAAAGGTGTCCAAATAAGAGCCAGGGAAGACCAGTCAGGCAAAGACCTGCTGAGGTCTGAGCTGCTCCTCAGAACTCTAATAAATTGTATTCACCTTTTATGCTTTAACCCACCCAATTCCCACACTCCACCATTGCTCTGTACACTAGTCTTCCATATTGCCTGTTAGGAAAAGCAAAGTATCTACGCCATCGTGCATCTGACTGACTGTTTCATGTTTATTTTAATGTTTCCTGTCTCCTTCTGCTCGGCAGCTTTCTCCAGTGGTTGACTTCACTTCTAAACCATACCCAAAAGTTCCCTCCTTTTGCAGCCACACTGGGGATAGCCCACAGAACGTGTCTGAAGATAAGCTCTTCCTGCCCCGCTTTTGAGCTTCCCCTTAACCCACGTCTCTTCCACAGCAGGGATAAAAGGTACCACACGCTGAGCAGTTCGACTTTTTCACTGTTAATCGCTGTGGAGGCACCGGCAGGGTCAATGCGGCTTTGGCCCAGGGGCAAAGCCGGTGTTCAGTGCACACCCTCGGGCCTGGCCAGGGCAGGGTCCCGCTCCTCACGGAGCAGCAGGAACGGGACACATTTCCCCAGAGTGGCATGGCCCGGGCCCCGTTTCCGCGGCAGCGGCCCCGCCCCGAGGCGGGGACGGGAGGGCCCTGGGGAGGGTGGGACCCTTTCGTGCGGCGGAACCTTCGCGCGGCGGGCGGCGTTTCCCGGCGGCGCGGCGGCGGCGCGGGGCGGTCGCCATGGCAGCGGGCCCGTGGTGCTGGGGGACGCTCGCGGCGCTGCTGCCGCTGCCGCCGCTGCTGCTGCTGCTGCTGCTCGGGGGCGCGCGCCGCCTGCGCCGGGGCCGCGCGGGGTCCCGCGGGGGCGCGCGGGGCGGGCGCGCGCTGGTGCTGACGGCGCACCCCGATGACGAGGCCATGTTCTTCGCCCCCGCCCTGCTCGGCCTGCGCAGCGCCGGGGCCGCCCCCGCCGTGCTCTGCTGCTCCGCAGGTGAGCGGGGACCACCCACGCACCCGCACCCCCATCCCCGCCAACCCCCGGGGCACGGGGAGGCTGCCGCGATGGCTCCCCACGTGTGTGGCCCCGCGCCCTGACGCTGTGGGGAAACTGAGGCACGGTGCGGCCATCGCCCGCCCTTCCCCGTGCCTCGCCTCCCTCTCCTTTACAAGAGCGTGGCGTGAGGGAACGGAGGGGAACGTGTTCAAATTGAAAGTCGCGACGCTGAGGCGCTTTCAGGCTGCGCGGCGGTGTCAGTGGGCTGTCAAAGGTGCTGCTCGGCGCGGCCTTTTGGCATCTCCCTGTGATTCTGTTGTCTTGCAGAAGACTTGTTTGGATGGTCCAGTTTTAATGTCGCGATACATCCACTGTAACACATCTAAAGCAGCACTTGCGTTGCAATGCGATCATGGAACAATAGCCCGGAAGGGAATGCGAGGCCGGGCTGCCCATCAGTGCTGACCTGGAGGCAGCAGCGATGCGTCTTCATTTGCTGCAGACAAATGTTTGTTCTCCGGATGTCCGGGGAGGTGCCTCAGCCTGTGGGGTCTGTGTCGGTGCTGCTTTAGCTCTCCCTCAAATCACTTTTTCCTGAGTCACTGGTGTAATTTAAGCTTGTTTGTTTATTTTTTCATGCCTGGCAGGAACATAGAAATCAGAGTATCCCTTTGTAACAGCCTCTTACATATTTTAGGACTGTTATCTGCCTCTTCTGCCTTATCTTCTCCAGACTAAACAACCTGATTACTTGCAGTCTTCCCTCATAGATCATGTTTTCTAAACCTCTAATCATTCTCATCACTCTCCCTTGGACTCTTCCTTTGGTTCATGTAATTTTTGGAAGGGCAGTGATGACAAACTGGAAGCAGCACTGCAGCTGGGGCTGAGTAGAGAGGAGAGATTCTTACAGGCTCCACTGTTTGCCCAGAGCAAGAACTTTCCACAGCACATGACACTTTTGTGTTCTTCTCACGATCTGCTGAAGCTCCAGATTGTTCTGCAGAGCTGACACCTGAGCAGTTATTGCATTGTGCAGGTTCCTATGCATAAGAAACAACCTGGTTTGAGTTGATCTTTCAGACCATATTGCAGTACCAGAATTCTTACACTGAGAGCTGCTTAGCTTTGGGAAAGAGCCCCCTGTGCCTTTGGCAGCTCCAGCCAGTTCACTGCCAACATTTGTGACATTTCCAAAGCTTTCTGTCCTGCCAGACCATCAGGTGAGAAGACAGGGATTGAACTATTGAAGTCCAGTGGTTTGGTGGCTTCACTGATGGCTCTGCACCTCCCATTCAAGATTTAGTGCAGAGCTTTCATTGTCCCTGCTGAGGGACAGAGGTCTGGCTTCTCCACAGCTGTGGGGAGATTACTGAAGTGCAGCTCTGCCATTTCAGTTTGGGGACTAATACACTGCTGCTGCTAGAGAACTTTCCAAAGTGTTGTGTTTCTGTCTATTTTGTTGAATTTTCTTTTCTCTTTACTCCTGATTCAGTGGCATGACACGTTCAGGGTGTTTGCTGTTTCCTTCTAGGTACTTTCTCACTTGTAAGGAAATGTAGGGAGAGCACCTTTATGAGCTAAGAGATTTTTATTTTAAAAGCCTCTGATTAGTCTTGTGGGTGATTCAGATGGTTCATCCTCTCATTGTTTGAGTGATTGATGATGACAAGTGAGTTGATCAAAGGCACTGCAAATTGTTAACACTGAGACAAAATCATTACTTAAAAACCATTGTACTTGCAGTTTTCAGTTATCAATCAATTTGACTGAGAAATGAGTTAGAATTACAGCACTGGGAAAAAGAAATCAGTCTTTGACACACTAAATAATCTTAGATTGAATTAATAACTCAGTCTAAATGTGCTTTGCTCTCTGTAGTAGCTGGCTGGGTTGTGAGTGCTCCATGGACGAGGTCCAGCAGCATCAGCTGTTCAGCTGGGTTTGCTCTCAACAGCTGCCCATTCTTTCTGGTGAGCACTGACACACTCCTGATGTCCTGACACATTTCTGCAGCTGTGGAGCTGTTTCTTCGAGTTCAGCAGAAGTCAGGGATTTTGGGAGCAGTGGGAGTGTTTGGATAAAGCATCACCTGCAGTCTGCTGTGACACTGCACTGCAGCAAAAGCTGTTTCCTCCCAGCACTGTGGTGGTAATGGCCTGGTAAAAACCACTCTGAAATGAAGCCTCTTGTACTCCCTCAGTCATTCCAGACAAGCTGCACCCTTCAGTTCACTCTGCTGGAGCTGCAATCCAAGGTTTGTCCCACAGCCACTCACTGTCAGTCTCCCAAAGTCATTCAGTCACAGGCTGTGGGAAGAGGATTTTTCCTTCTAGTTATTCTTTCCCTCTTTGAAAATTGTACAAAGCTTGCTAGAGATGGCTCAGATTGCAGCACTGCTCCAGAGAAATGCTAGATTTAGATGACTCACACCCACAACAATAAAAAGTTCTGGTGTAATTCAAGACAGCTGACTACAGACTTGAATCACACATTAATACTCAACTGTATTTTTTTCATTTTATTACTTCAAAGTTAAAACTGACTTGCAAGTATTGCCCTGCATAGAGCAACGTTCTGGAAGGGGCATCACAGCTCTGGCAGGGACTTTGCATGGCTGATGCCAAGAAAAAATAAGGGAATGTCAGGGCAAGATGAGAAGAAAATAATTCAGTGAAGAAGGAGCCAATGTTTTAAGATGATGAATCCCATTTCCCTGTTAGTTGTTGATCTCTGTTACAACTTCTCCCAGCTGCCTCTATCTTGATTAGGTTTTCTCTCTTCTTTTGCCTCTCTAAGCTTTTGCAGTCTTGCCATATCACTTCTGCCTTAATTTCCTCTGTGAATGGAGCAAGGAAGAAGATGCTGAACTGTTTGGACCCCTTGATGTGAACCTAAACTGAGTTAGATGGTGTTGCTGTGTTTGCTGTTTTCAGGAAATTATTACAATCAAGGGGAGATTCGTAAGAAAGAGCTGGAACAGAGTTGCTGTGTCCTGGGGATTCCTGCTTCTGATGTCACAGTCCTGGATCACAGGTAACTGGTTCTCCTTTCCAGTAGAATTCCAGTTTTAAAGGGGGTTGAAGTTCATTTTAACATTCAGGAGAGCTGACTGTGTTGTTCTAAAAGCCTTGAGGAATCTCAAGAAGGACAATATCAGATATTTTTGTTAATTCTTCTCATAAATCTAATCAATGCAGAAGACAATTCTTTTGCATTATGGGGATCAGAATTCCTAGGTGAAGCTCTGTTCATACAGCATTTGGAATAATGATAACCACACTTGCTGGCATCTGGCCCCCTGTGTCTGGGCAGCATGATCACATTTTGTTGTATAACAACTGCAGACAGACAGAAATTCTCTGGATTGCCTGGGGCAGGTTTGTCTGTAGGTGGTCCTTTCAAGGTTAGGGTGGAATTCTATTGTATTTACAATCTGCTTTAGTCCTGGCTAAAGACAAAAGTGAAGTGCAGTACTAAAGACAGTCCACACTAACATGGCAGTGAGACTCTTCAACATGAAGCCATGCAAGATCTGTTTTTCTGAGGTGTGGTGTTGTTTCAGCTGTGTGTAGCTGCAGAGGGTGGCAAAGCTGACACTTCTCTGTGCAGGAACTCTCCTCTGGGAGGGTGATTTAACACTTTGAATCAGTGACACTTGGAACTGATGTTGTAAAAGCCTCTCAGATTGCCCAATCACTGTCTGTGTATAAGATCTGAATGAGACACTGATTGCTAGGAAACATGATACAAGTGGTTGTTTCACTTGCAAAGAGCTATCACACAGCCCATAAAGAATATTTCTGTTTATGAAGAAATAATAGCAACATATTGATTTAAAGCCACTCTAGCTAGAGCAGAGTTGGAAAAAACTCTGGCTCCAGGCAGGCCCTTTTCCCATGACCATATTTTCCCTTGAGCTAAGGCAGCAGGAACCACAGTCCAGAATATGAATCTTTTTGAGTTCTTTGCTTTTTTTAGCTTTAGGTTTCTCTCCAAGTTTTCAGCTTGCTGAGGAAAACAGCACAAAAGTTGTTTTTCCTTTGGAATGAAAGAGATGTTTCCGTTCACTTCTCATGAGCTGGCTTTGGGTAACTGCAAGTTCTGTAGTACAAGCATATGACAATGCCCAAAACATTCTGGGGAGGAATAAGGAAAAAGCTGCTCAGCTTTGCTAAGCATAAAGTCTGCTCAATGAACCATCTTTGACAGTAAAGCCCTGGAGCCACTTGGCCTTTTATCCTCTGAAGCAGTGTGAGGTTGGCTGGTGAGTGATGCAAGTTCTGCTGCTGCTCAGTCACCCCACACACACAGCCCAAGGAGCTGCTGCTTGTTGCAAGTCAATCTTTGGAAGGTGAGGGCCTTTTCAGAGAAGTCTCTTGGCTGATGCCTCTTTCTTACTTTATTATTATTGCACACATTTCTGTCCTGAGCTCTGCTCCCCCCTGTGAAGGCAGTGCCCGAAATGACAGAGCCATCCCATTGCCCAGAGCTGGGCTGGAATGTGCATCATTGCTCCAAGAAACAGCTTTGGGTTTGAGGTCTTTATCTCTGAGTTAGATTGCTGTGAGATAACCATCAAACCCTTCAGCTTTGTTGTGCATTCAGGGAGTAAATGAAGTGAAGTTCTTGATGAATTTTGCTCACAGCTTGTTTACACAGCAAAAGTTAAGTGTGTTTACAGTGCATTATTTACTGTGCCATCACTCACCATGTGGATGCTCTTCATGAAAAACATCTGTGGATCAGGTGTTAGCAAACTGGTAGAGGATCAGGATTAATTTCTAGACCACACTGAATTTCTAGTGTAGCTGATTTTTAGATACTGTTTTCCAGTGGTTTAGACAAAACACTGGACCCAGGGTTCTTGAAACTTACTCCAAGTTCTTGGATTCACTAAGGTCAAGAGTTTTCCTGTGTCTCTTAAGACTTACGTAATTTCCAGGTTATACAAAAATATTTGCTGGTATGGCATTGTGTGGAGCTTGCTAAAATAATGCATTATTTACAACTAGATTTCAATGTAAATTCATGCCTACAGAATACTGCTCAGGAGGCTGTTCTTCCTTAGCATTTTAAGATCAGAGCCCTTTGACTCTTTTGTTCCTTGCTGAACTCTTGAGAAGATGGTTTGCCATCAATGTAAAGGAGGAGCACATTGCTCTGGGAGAGCTGCTGGCCTGCTGCCCATCTCCCACTGCTTACACAAACACTGCATGCTTTACATTAGCCAAGCTGCAGCTTTGTGTTTTGGTAAGGAAAGCCCAAAGGATTGCAAGGTCTGGATCTGCTCCAGCCATTGTAGTGTGGAGCTGAGTCATGCTGCTTCCTCTTTCTTTGTGTGATCTACAAGTGAGTGAGTAGAATTTGCAAGATGTAAAAGGGGAAATGGATTTTCAAAGCCAGGTGATTGACTTGCTCTGTCATCTCTCTGGGCAGGCAGGTATAAAACCAACATGACTTTTGGGCCTCGGTGTGAACTTGTGAAGAGAAAGCTTCAGTCAGCCTCTGATGAAATCTGTGCTAAACACCAAATCCTTCTTAAGCAGTGCTTTGCCTTAAACAATGCCTGTCTCAATTATATCCAGGGTTCCCAGCAGGACCAGCTCAGTCTCTATCACACAACTGCTCTGCCTGGATTCTTCAGGAGCTGTGTTTGATGTTGCCATTGTGTTTGTTATCTCACTTAAAGACAACTCAAATCTGCATAAATACGGCCCCAAACTGTACCCACATTTCAGCCCTAGAGATCTGATCACACATTTCCTACAGAAAAGTTCTTTTCTCTGTGGGACATGTCCAGGAGTGGGAAGGGCAGGGATGTCTGGGCATGCACACATGTTCCAGACTAATTTAGATTTGAGCTCTGGACTCTTCCAACTTGTGACTAGTACAGGTCAGGCTCCAGATTTGCAGAGGTGTTCCCTGAGCTGCCATGCCATTATCACAGCTCTCACACTGCACCAACCAGCTGCATTTAGGGGACAAAAGTTCCACAATCTACTTTTGTTACCATTCCCACACAAGGCTTAACACTTGGAGCAGCCCAGCTCAGAACTTGGGCTTGTGTTGTTCAAAATTAATTTCTGGACTGTCACAATTATTCCTGCTGCTGAGTAAGGGAGGAGTAGCAAGAGAGCGAGTTCTGAAACTCATGTAAGATAAAAGTCACTCCATTAATTATATAAATGTTAATGTAAACTCTGTGCTTTTGGTATATTTTTATCATCTTATGTGCTTCAACAGCAGATTTTCCTGTGAGTTAAGCTCCCATTTACAGTGGGCACATCTGCCAATGCTCTGGCTGTCTATTAGTCTGAAACATTGCACATAAAGAGGAGATGATTTCTGATCTGCCTTCTCTTTCTGAAGAGAAGCAGATAAAAGGAAGCCCAAATTATTCTTTTTTTCTAATGTGTGTTTTGGGTTCATGGAAAGATAAATATCAGATGTTTTACTGTGGATTCTGAAGCTTTTGTGCACAGTTGTTCTGGACAGAAAGTAAAACTGACTATTAGCATCTTTAATATGACAGAAAATATTTGGCCCAAGTTTGCAGTGCAAAGAAAATAATAGCTGAGATCTGTGTAAACTGGAAAATTTTCCATTCACAGTCGGACGCTTACGGCAAACAATGTTACATCTCTTTCCAAGTTTCCATGGAAATTGCACTCCCTTTGCTTTTTTATTATTATTATTATTGCACTGAAGTCCAAAAGGGCTCTGGTCAGACACTGCACAGCAGAGAGCACATCTGCCCATGCACTATCACTGGCTATTTTTATGAGGCTGCAGAGAGACTCAAAATCTTTTTTATTTTTTTCATTTTTTATGTAATAATTCTGTGTTGTTTGACTCATTTTTTCCTCCTATAAGATAAATAGGCTTTATTGCACTTCCTCATATTTAACTTCTAACAAACTTCCTTCCATGACCTCTCCATGGCAGAGAAATGAGTCTGTAAGGTCATGGGAAAAATATATCCTTAAGTAAATAGTGTGTGTGTCTGGTTGTGGTGATCACAAAGATACAAAAACACTCAGGCCCTTCAGAAAACAAAATATATCACTGGAAATCTGAGCCTTTTTTAAAATTAGAATTTAGAAGCACAATCATTAAGTCCATCCCATTGATCCAGTTTGGATTTGCTGTTTCTTGATGGGGAGTGCTGAGTGCACAGAACTGTGAGATTCTAAAAAATGTGTTCATCTGACTTATTATGTTTCTATCATAAAGGTGATATTATTCCCTAATATTTCTTCTTTCCTGTTCTATTATTTCATATTTTGGGATCATAGTTAATAGTTTTAATTCTGCTGGAGTAATTGTGGTAATGAGTTACGTTTTGTCTTCCTAAGTTCCCTGTGGTATCATGGTTTGACATTTTATTTTATTGCTAATTCTAAAAAGCTGATCTGTATGCTGATTAAAATTGCTGCCATGCTTTATTCTGGAAGAGCTGCATATTTCAGGAGTGAGTGATGGGATTTTCTTAATCTTCCTTATCCCAGCAATGCTGTAGAGGCCTTTTTTTTGTTCAGAATTTTCTGTAATTAAGAACGACATCTGTGGGACCAGAAATCTGACATGTAAATTGATCACATGCTCAGTGTGTGTTGCAGGGAAATCAACCTACATCCCTTGAATCAGCCAAACACGCTCAAAATCATCCTCAGCACTAACAAGCTTCATCATGACAAGAGGGCATTTTGCCACTCAGGTGGGGATCTTGATATTTATCAATCTGTAGCCAAGTTTCATTTCTGTTTAGTGTAATTCTGGAAATGTAAATTGTTTTCTTTCTGAGAAGACAATAAAAGATTTGGCCACCTATTTATATTTACATTTCTAAATAGATAATTTTTTCAAAAAGCTTTCCTACGTGGCAGTTCCTGCTGGCATTTTAGGACCTCAGAACACTTTATAAAAAGGATTATATCAAAGTCTGCCTTCAGGCATCTGCTTTTATAACTGTTGCTCTATGCAATAATTTAAGAGGAAATTCTTCTGGGGGTTGAGCTGTCTCACAGCCCTCC